TTTTATTTCGCTGAAAAACTTCTTCAGTTCGGCAAGTTCTGCTATATTTTTTTTTATGACAGTGATTTCCTTGTACATTTCTTCTTTCAGATCTTGTATATTTTTCCTGGTTTCATCATGCTGTCTAGCTGTGTTTTCTTGTATCTCATTTAGTTTCTTTAGGATTATCCCTCGGAATTCCCTGTCATTCATTTCAAGGGCTTCTTGTTCTATAGGATCTAGAGTTTGAGATTTATTAACTTTTGGTGGTGTACTTTCTTGTTTTTTTGCATTTCTGGTATCTCTTTTTGGGTGTTTGTTCATTTTGGCAGGGAGTTTCACTCGGGTGTTGGACCTCTGCGGGGAGCCACCTCTCTGATCAGTTTGAACTCTACTAGGCTGCTTGATACCTCCCTGCCGGGCCCGCAAGGTATGTGTGTTCTGCACCTCGCTATCGGGACATTTTCCCACTCTGTGTGCACTAGGTGGGGCTGTTGAGCCTTGCAAAGGGGGCCCGCAGGGTGTGTATTTTTTTTCCCCAAGACTCCACCTCCTTTTGCTGGACCCCTCCCCACTCTGTGCGCTCAGTATAGGGCTGAGGCATGTCTTCTGCAATCCTCGTCTATCAGCTGGGACATCAAAGCTGTGCCCTGCCCCGCCCTGCCCAGAAATAGTTTCAGGTTTCTGGAAGGGACGCTTTGGGTGCTTTTGTGGTCCTGGATAAGGCCTCCTCTGGATCTCTCACTTTCCTCCCGGTGCTGCAGCTATCTGTGTAGTAATCTCCAACTCCAGTGTGTGAGCTCCTCGGGGCAGGGACCCACAGCAAACAGTTCCTCTTTGAATCCCCCCAGCATGGGTTGACCCGGGCGCCCTCCAGGAGTGTTACCCGGCAGCTTCAATCTAGCTTCAGAGCGCTCTGGTCTCCTCTACCCAACCAGAAATCAGTTTGGGGTTCTTCCAAACTGAGGGCCACAGAGATAGTGTCTGCCTCCCGGAAACAGGGAGTTTACCTGGGGCTGAAGCCCAGGTGTGGTTGAGTGGCAATCTGGGCGGGCTCCTCTTCCCTGCCCTCCCAACGCTGGCCGGGGGCTCCCCCCTCCAACAGCCCCGTCAGAGATCCGCGGGGGGAGTGGGATTGTAGGCCGGTCCACAGGCCCCAGGGGGCCCTGCATCGAGGTATGCAAGTGGAACGTCTCAGTGAGGGGCCGCGCCAAGCCAAGGGGGACCAGCCTGGCCGATCCGAGCCGGCCGTCTCCACCCCCACCCGAGAAAATGGAGGCTGCATTGTTGCTGGTGCCTAGCCTGGTGTGGTAGGCGGGAGCCAGGCGGGCGGGAGCCAGATGGGCTTTGCCCCGCAAGTGGGGCTGGACTGGGGGTGACTCACAGAGCTCGCAGTATTGAGCTGGTCTGGCGCCTTCCACTCCGTTTCTGTGTCGTCTCTGCTGACTTACTTGGCCTTTGTTGTCTCGGGCTGCTCGCTTGAACCCACAGCACGGCTTGGGCACTCTCAGGAATCTTCTTTTATGACGGCCCTAAAACCTTGAACCTATAGCTGCTTTTTTGTCATTGTAGGTTAGTTATTCAAAGATTTATTCGTTTTTTGTTGCTCTTGGAAATGCAAATAGTACTCTGGTATCACAGTGCACACTTCTCAGGGTCGCACTGTCTCCTGGCACAGCCGCTCCAGACCCGTCGCCATCTTGAGCCCCTCTGGAAGAGAGTATTTTGAATGTTCCCAACACAAAGAAATGATAAATGTTTGAGATTACGGGTGTTGATTGACATGATTTGATCATTACACATTGTATATATATATTGAAATATCACACAGTATCCCATAGATATGTAGAATTATTATGTTTCAATTTAAAGAGCTCTGGTGACATATTAATTAACATATTTTAATAAAAGAATAATAAAGCATACTGTATAAACTGGGGGAAAAAAGAACCCGAGACATTTCAGAAATAGAGCACAACTATTTAAATGAAATTACCTGCCTGGACAGAGCCTGTCACTGTCACAGTCACAGCATATATCCAAAACAGGTCATATTAACCCTGAGATAACTGTTTGGGACACCATGAAGTCATTTCCTGGCTATGAAGTGATTACCGTTTAACCTGTAGTACTGTGTTTGCATGGGAAGTTGAGATTATCCCTGAAAAAATCCTGAAAGCTATTAATAATGATTCTGCAGTTGTTTGAAGATAGTGGAGGAAACAGCTCTGGGGAAATACTTGTGATAAACGTAAAAAGTAAATACCTCTGTGAAACTGGAGCCTAAGTACTGCAGTATGAGAAGTGAAAGAATGAAGCTAAGCACATGGCTGTATTTGAATCTTGACCACACTCAGGACTTTGTACAAAATGTGATTATCCCCCCTAAAAACACTGAGTAATTGGAGGGAGAGGTAAAGACACTATTGGAATGGTAAAAATCAACAGCAAATCTATGCCAT